TAAACAATGTCAGCCATAATGGCACAACTGAACAGGGGCAGACCCAAACTTAACATCCCCTAAATGCCCCTCTCTGCGGAAGCTCATCAGGAAAGCAGTGGTCTGAATGTTAAATTATTCCACAAGAATAAGGTAATCCCTTCTTTTAATCTACCTCAAATGTTACACAATAGTGTGCAAATGTTTGTGTTGTCCTTCATCAGGCAACATGGTAAAGACCAAAAAAAAAGGGGAGGAGAGAACAATTGTGGGCATTGTGGAATTGACTGTTATCCACAATCTTAAGGTCTTGAGACTGCAACTCAAGGCAAATGCAGCTACTCCCTTATCCATCCCACCCTTTTCATTCTTTTTTCATTATTGCTTTATTTATTGTCTGACTTGATGAAGAAATCAAAAAAATGCAAAGCTTGAGGACTATTTTGTGCCACCTGAGTTGGCCTATGATATCTCTTCACTTACTATGGAATTTGGAACTAAATCAACAAGTAATTTTTTCACTGTATTTAGCCTTATATTTCTTTAAGTATATTCCTTGGCTATAAAGTGCTCTCTCTTTACTTTCTGCTTACTCTGCTTATGATTATATATGCATAACACTTGAGAAGAGGTAGTTTGAAAACTGACTAAAGATTAAGCAAACAAAAGTCACTAAATATATCAGCTCACTTCTGCCAGCAAGCAGCGTGCATCACATGACCACAACTGCCAGTGTGTGTTCCGCATGACAAGTCTGGTTCCATGAAAAGAGGATCAGTATCTTCTGCTGAGGAAAACAAATAAACAATCACACTGTTTCCTGTTGCAATAAGGGATGTTTTGAAAATTTCTACTAATAAATTTACACATCCAATTCTGGCAAGGGACATCTTTTCAGGGAATGAAAAAGAACTTATCATTGATATTAAATTAAAAGACTAACAAATGACTCTTTTGCATTACGTGTGATTGATCGGTGTATTCGTATTTGCCAATATTTGGTCAGTAATACTCTTGTGTTTCAGAATTTTAGGGTTTGGAGGATTTTTTAAAATAGAATAGGATGAGAAGCTATCAGTTGGAAGCAAAGATTCTGATAAATAAATTATATCAAGTTCATTTATGCTATATTCCTAAGTGTATATTCTTCCTACAATGCTTTGTTACAAGAGAAATGGGGAACAAGATGGATTTACGCCTCTCCCCTTCCTTTGAAATGATTTCAGAGGAGAAAAAAAATGGTTCGTTTAGAGTGACCTGCCCACTTCCAGTTGTTAGGGCTGAAGGTAACCAGCTATTGCTTCTCGAAGCAGGGCAGAGAAAGGCACCACTTTCAGCTCCTGCCCCTCCATCGTAAGTCACTTTCTGCTCTTGCCAAAAGCTACTGGGATTAGACCAAATCCTAGGGCAAGGTAGTGGCAGGGAAGGCAATATAGCCTGTAAAGTACAGTGGTACCTCGGGTTATGAACGCCTCTACTAACGAACATTTCGGGTTACGAC